TATGTCATGTATAGATTCATTATGGCAAAGATTGTTAATTGTTACTTTGATCTTTTGAGTTGATTGCTTTGAACTGCATAAGTGTGAATTCAAATTGATAAGGCATATGCTTGGACTAGTGTAACAAATTAAAAGTTATGGACACATTATGTGTATTGAGGAACAATGTTTGATATATTGTATTATTCAAAATGGGCTGTATAGATTATAGTTATTCTTTAGTCGTTAATTGATAATGGGTCGCCTTTTAATGGATTAGAGTGTTAGTTGGCTAAAAATTAGGTTAATGATTGGCATCAAATTGAAAACTAGACTGGGCAAGTAACCTGATGAACCAGCTATTTGGTAGTTCCATCAAGCATTTGAACCAAAGAAAAGTTAACCCGGATTAATATTCCGGTTAACCCAAGGTTAAACTGGCATAACTCATTTAAGCAAACGGGTTAGAGAGGTTGAACAGGTTATTATTTCCCACCTCCCAAGAGCTTAAAACGACGCCTTTTTGGGATTGTTTAAAAAAAATTGGTGATAGAAGAAGATGACAAATCTCAGCCAAAAAGTGATAGAAGAATATGATTGGAGTGGAAAAAAACGTATAAGATGAAAACAGAAGAAAAAGTAGACAATGAAGAATGAGAAGCGCCGTGATGAACCTCGAATCACCTGCTAGCTAGCAGACTGAAAACGCTGAAAGAAGGAAAGAAGACGATGAAAGGCACATAGCTACAGAGAGAAGAAATAAGGTAAAGAAAAAGGAAGTTGATATGTGTTGTGACTGTGAGATGGTTTGGAAAATATAATAAAAAATATAGTATAGCAAGTAGGTTCATTGTCACAGACCATAGAATATGTACATGAGCTTATGAGCCACGGGACAATAGACTTGACAAAGACAATAGACTTATACAAGAAACACGGTTACGAACCTTTGCCCAGGTATATATATATATAAGGAGTGGTAAATTTTATTTTATATATCTAAATTAAATTATATATTCACATTTTTTGCCGCATGTTCAAATGGAATTACACATTTGCTAGTTATTGCTTTGTAATTTGTAATTTTTTATTTATATCTCATTCTTTATATAATTTTTTATTTATATTTTAACACTTTTAAATTTTATTACTATTATTCATATATAAAACTATTTTACTTGACCAGCTGTTATGTGACTAACAATTGTAGCATACTTATGATAACTTCAATTTCTTTTTCTTCATGCTCACTCTCATTTTACTTTAAATAACTTTCAATAATATGTCATAAATAAAGTGATTAGTCTAAATATCAATATGTATAAAAATAAATATGTATGTTCTTTATCTCACATATATGAAAAGTCTTGTATTTAATAAATATACAAGTTATGAAAATAACATTTTGAACATTGTTGGATATAAAATTATTTTAGGATAAGGATAAATACAATAATATAAAAGAACTTTTATGTAAATAAATTATTTTTTAAATCTCATATAATATGAAATAATATGGGTAAAAACACTTTAAAGAATTTATTCTATAGTCATAGTTAACTATTATATTTATGAAAAGTAATTAGGCATAATTATAGTTTACTTCTCTAATATTTATTATCATCAAAAGTTATATTCAACATAATGCAACAAGCCATTATGTTTAATGGATATTTCCTTGGTTCCATTATAAGATCGTCAATGCTCAATCCTCTTAGAAACAGGGTTTGTCGATATCGATCGAAATGGGTTTCACAAAGCACAATGAATACTTTAGTCAACTTTAATATCCCACAGGATTACAACCTTCAGCACTCAATGGTCGAGAAAATGCCTTTAATCTACCACCAAATAGAATCTGACAAGTCCAATCCAGTGAAAAGGAAATTCAAATCTATTTCTTCTAAGAGATGGAGAGTATACGCGGATGATAATCTCTCTTTTCCACTTAGGGGTAATTTCGTCATTTGATTTTAAAAAAATGACACTAATGGTTTTTGGGCCTGCAGAAAACGACAATTGCTTTGGGCCTTAGTTGATATTTTGTTGCTTCTGAGAGGAGATGATATTCTCCTATAAAAAATAATTTTAAATGACCGAATTAAAAAAAATTATTTAATATTAAGGTTCCCAGATTTACCAACCGAACTACTGCTACTAAAATAGCACAAAATTATAAGTTGAACGATATTTATCACTATCTAGCACTCAAATAGCACGAGTACAAATAAAATTACAAGTATTTACTTTTAAAGTTCCTTAGGAATAAATAATTTATGAATTTGGTCCTTGAAAATAATTTTTCCTTAAATTCTCTCATCTTTTGGTCAATCCGTCTTAATTTTTTTTTTAAATAGTAAGACGACACACTTTGGTAATGTTAAAATAAAATCTGGCTCATCGATTGTATAGCATATTTGACAATCCATATTATCTTAATTTTGTTCTTATCCTCAAAGAAGAGGTAAGTTGATGATAGAAAGGGTGATGTTAACCTTTTTTTTTTTTTTCTCCCCTTTCTATATGGCCGGCAGATCTGTCTCACTATCTTAAAAATTCTATTCCATTATCACACATACCAAACAAAGTCTGTACTCACATATCTTCCATGTACTTTTTTTTTTTGGACATAGTATTTCCTGTAATTTTTCTTACATATCAAACATGCTATTGAGCTCAAATCTTCAATTCCATGAAGTACTAGGCCCATATCTTTTGTTTTTTTCCCATGCTGACTCCTTGATGGATCAGACTCTTGTGTTTTGAGTTCAAGAGATATTAATCAAACTTTATGGGCCTTACATGCTGGAATGAATAGTAATAAAGATAAAAAAAATACAATGATCAAAATATAGATGAGAGATAAGCCAATCATATTTATAAAAAAAAATGATAATTTAATTTATGAGATTAAGAGTCATGAATCATGAATCATGAATCATGAATCATGAAATTTGTAGTGGGTGTGATTATTTCCATATTTATAGCATGCGTTGTTGAGTTTTATTATATTTATCATAAAAGATTGAATAATTTAATTCATTTTTATTCTTAGTTTTTTTTGTTTTTAATTTTATTACATCCCTATCATTTCCAACAACCAAACAACTCATATCTCTTTCTTGTATCCTTGATGTAAGCTTATCTAACTTTGCCTAACTTTGTGGCTGTAGGGTGGTATCAGAAAGCATGCAAAATTAAGTTTGATCATTGTTATTACTACTTTTTTTTATAAACAAACAAGTGGTAGCATACTTCTACTTGCTGCACATGTTGATGATATCACAATTACTATAGTATTTCATTTCTCAAAACCTCCTTTCACAGCACACTCATTTCAATGAAAGATTTAGGACCACTAATTTTCCTGTCTCGGAAAGAATGTTCTCGACTTGAACTGAAAAATTGGGAGCCAAACTATTTTAGTGGAACCAATAACCCCTAACTGGTCAAACTTGTAGTCAATGATATATACCATTTAGAGATCTTAAAGATGCAAGATTAGTCGGAAAACTATAGCCTCCATGGGACTCATCCTAAGAGCAAATTGTGATTAGTCACTATAAATCTTCCTTGTGAATTACTTGCTCAGTAGCTTTACAACAATTTCTTCATTAACTTGTACCAAAAACTGGTCTTCATTAACTAAACACAGCCCAATGATGTGGTTTATTATGTGAAAATCATGAATACACTAATGCCTTGTTTGGTAGGTTGGAATTGAGATTGGAGAAGTGGAAGTGAAAGTAAAATTCTGACATTTACTTGTTTGTTGTCAGGAACTCAATTCTCTAAGGAACTCAATTCTACAAAAAAACCATGGAACTCACTTCTATCATAACCCCATAAAAACTCAATTCCATCCCTCATTACTTAAATAAAATTTTTATCTCACTCCCATCACCTTACCAAACATATTTATATCTCAATTCCATTTATATCAAAAACTCTTCCCCGGTGCCAAATGGGGCATAATATTGAATGCTCTTTTTTTGCATGTGAATTAGGTAGGAACCAGGCTTGACATTGGACCTATTATAAGGTGATGTGCGCTTATTGGGATCAATTGAGTACCAAGAAGCATTTAAGAAACAAAATGTATCCAACCTAGTGCAAAAGAAGGCACAATCAATGTGTAAAGTAGTTTGAATATATCAGCTATTGAATGAAGCTTGTCTCAAGTTTTCATTACTGGCTATGACATAACATCACAAATCATGTTTCTCTACATATTGCCTCCAACCTCTTATTTCATGATCAAACCAAACATTAACGGTCTTTCTGCTTGAGAAAATATCAATATCAATTCTACATGATATCTTAAGACAGGAGATTAATTAAGGAATATTTTTTCATGAAAAACTTTGAATGGACCTCAAGTTGATTATATTGGCCATAAGTGAAGCATGATTATTGATTAATAATAATGCTCCGACTTGAAAAGGAGTTTAAAGAATATCCCTGTATATCCTCATAACTGTAAATCCTTGTACTTATCATTTCCCAAAAACAAAAAATCCTCGTACTTATTATATATATCATAGCCATAATTATAGGGATTTATCATACTGAAGTCATTAACTCCTAAGTCCTAAGAGCCTCAAATGATGCAGTATAATCTAATCCTCTGTCCTTCATTTCAGCTCCAATTGGGTTAATGACATTGAAGAAATTGGTTTTGTAAGAATATATTGGTGACAGACAATAATAGCTTTGATTTGGCAAGAGATCAGATCACTAAAGATAGGCCAGGTCAGATCCAACTATATGTATTTCTCTAAGGAAATTAACGAAATTAAGGGATGAAAATTTTCATGACTTTTCAAAGTTAAAGTACCAAAGTAAAATACAACAAATTTACAGGACAAGACTAGAATCTGATGCTGAGTTTAGAAACAAAAGTGTGTGCGCATACATGCATGTGTGTCTTCCACTTCAATTCATTAGTCTATTTTTGCCTAAATCACAGGCCAAAGGCACCCCTGACACCTTCAAGGCTCTCACCCAAGGACAATCTGCAAGGAGACGAAAAATACAATGCTCAGGGTAAAAACGTCATATATCCTTACTACTCTTTATTTTATGTAAACAAAGAAACAAAAGAAAACATTACTACTAGTCCCTATAATTTTAACATATTTTGGTATAAGTCCTTATAGTTTTCTTTCATTGCTCCAAGTCCCTCTAATTTATCCTAGTTGCAACATTCATCCCTCTATTTTTTAATATACATATAAGGACGATAAGATAGCACCAATGGTGTTAAATATGTTGAACTATGACTAACGTCATTAATCTATGCTGAGATGTAATTATGATTCAGCAAATTAACCACTCTGTTCTGTTTCATGTTTCAAGTTTCAATAAATTAAATCATAATTCCACCTTAGTACAAAGATTAATAATGCTAGTTACAAGTGAGCATATTTAACATCCTTAGTACCACCTAATCATTCTTTTGGGAATATCAAAAAATAGAGGGACCTGAAACGGGGGGAAAAAACTATAGAGACCTATGTCAAAACATGTTACAACTATAAGTACCAATATTTATGTTTTCCAATGAAACAAATAAAAGCTTGAACAAGAAAAGCAATATAAAGTAGATAAACACAACCATCCCGATCAACATTTTGTAAGAAGGAAGTCTAAAATTTTCATTGTCGAGTTATGATAAGAGTTCAGCACTATTCTAATTTCTGATTTAACAGGAAAGGACGTCAGCATCTGTGGTCATTCATTTGCAGGTAGTATGGATAGTTGAAGGGTAAAGGGACCTGTTAGAACTATAATTCATAATACATTTAGGATCCCATATATAACGCACAAATTATGATTATTTGGCTTCTTTACTGCTCCAACACGAGCAGATCTGTTCAGAGAAGCCAATTGTAGTCTAGATATAAAAAAGTTATTTTATTTTATTTTGAAAAGAATAAATGAAGAACAGAAACAGTCTTCTAATTTCATCAGACAAATAATCTAAAAACATTTTTTTTTTTGGGGGGGGGGGGGGAGATCAAACGTTGTCCTCGTCCAACAAATGCAATAGAGAAGTCAAATTGACGATACAAGTGAGAATTCAGTAGATTCTCATCAAGGGTTGCTTATTGTATTATTAAAGGAAAGTCAAAGGAATTCTACATAAAACAAAAGACCAACAGTGTCAAAAATGAGCTAGTTTCTCTTTCTTTTATCCATAGAAAGTGAATTAATTACTAGTCATAACTTAAAGAATCAACAATTTAATATTTCTAGCTTCAATGGAACAGTCACTGTGGTCGTCCAATTCAACGAACAAGAGTACTTTACATTACACGGTAAATGAAATTTAAACAAAATCTTTCAACTAGAGGCAATACTCAACAATGAATGGGCCACCAAATAGAGAATTATATTTTGGTGAAACCGATGATCCAAACATGTCCTCCTCAGCATTCTTAACTCTTGCGTAGATTTTTTTATCATTTTAAACCTCAAGTTAGACTTAGTTCCATGTTCAACATTTCAGAGGTTCTCAAAGGATACCGCACAATCTTTTGAGGATAGAAACAAAATTAGCATTCGAGTAACATATCGATACAAAAGACCCCTGAAAGAGCCAATTGATGGCAAGGTTACTTTTGGAGAACTAAAATGGTCTTCTATTGTATCTCCATCCATTACTTAAAAACCATGCATTACCCTATCACACTAACAAGCAGACTAGGTTCCAAATAATTAAGTCAATCCACATTGTCAAAAAGACATTCAGGGATTCCAGTATTCCACATAAAGAGATTCAAACATTAAAAAAACGTGTAAGATGCATCTTGCCAAAATGGGCAGACTACCCATTAAAGCCCGTAATTCAAGTGAAGTGAGCTTATTCAAACCAGATTTAAAATACCAAAATATATAAAAAAAATTCATATAGCCAAGCTCGACCTTAACGCCTCAAGCTTTTGGGCTTATTCGGGTCAACTCGAATACTTGAATTGTTAAAACTTTTTATTTTATTTTTCCTTTTTTCTTTTTTGAACCAATTTCAATTTTTACCACAAAAAATTCAGATTTTTCTGGCAACAGTAACATTACAACACTTTTTTCTCTACCCTTGCTAATATGAGACCAAGTATTGAAAGAGTAAAAATGGAAGCATATGAAGTAACTTCTCGTGTTTAGTTTTTCTTAACATTTGCAGAAAAGATTAAAAACAAACAATTATTGGAACATTGTAACTTCATTTAGGAGTGCAAAGTATGCCAACTGAGTCTAGTAGAGAATTTGCGAGTGTGAAGTGAAGGTTCATTTAATTTATTTAATTTAAAAAAAGAAAATAAAATTTGGGTATTCAGGCCAAGCCCACCTAAAGATTTTTCGGGCTTATTCAAGCTCGTCCATCAGATTTTGCTCAAATTACCTACTACCCATAACAAGAACATCTAAAATAAACAGACTTAAGACTAAAGTTCCAGGTTATGCATCACAACATTTAAATGGAAATAAATGAATTATATCTGAACTAAGCTATGCGTTGCCACTCATGTCATCGCACTGCATATTCAGTCATGGTTAACTAGGTCACATTTCAAGTAACCATCAATTATTCCTAACTTCACAATATATATTTGCATGTAATGTGTTTCTAATTGATCTTCCTCCATGCTAAATATATGGTTTACAACTGTCACACATGTTCTTACTACATCATCAAATTCTTATTTCAGTCATGCATTCACTGGCTGCCAGGTGTCTTCATTTGCCCCACATTCTGAGTACAGCCACTTTGCCACCAATAAACTCTCTGTCAATTAAGTTCTTGTATTTGATAAAATCTGATAACCAGAGTATGATTTCTGTTTCCCATTCTCTCCCCTTATGTTTTACTTCACTTCCTTTATTTCTCCAACCACACTCACCAAAAGTTCTGCCGTTTCAAGTATTTGGCACCATAATGGGAGCCCCAAAGGCGTACTGATTGGCCATAACCATATCTCCAGAATGACTAAATTGTTAAAATTCATTGTAGGCCTCTATCAATCAGAATTCATAAGAGATCCTCAAACCAACTTAGGACTGTGAGATCAAACAGTGAGATCATCATAGATGACTTCAAAAATTAGAACTACAAAATCTCTCATCCTTCATAATAACATTTGTCCAATCTTTCAATTGACATGCAACTTGAATTATGGTTTCCATTCTGTCGACTGGAATTTCCTTACGATCAAGTAGGTAGCACAAGAAGCATTTCTTCCAAAGCATCCTACAGCCTTGCATGATACTTGAATTAAAATCTGAAACAAGAGAGACTGGACGATCACCTTCAACCACGTGCTCAAAAAAGCAAATAACTGCACTAATTGACTTGCTCACCAAGCTACCGACAATAATTTAGACGCCATAATTTTTTAGGATAGATCTACAGGGTGCAAAATCCTTTTGAATTCTAACCTTGCATGGTTTTCTATGGCCTTGTATTCAAAAGAAAAAAATGAAACAGCACCTCTCCTTGATTGTTCAACAAAAAGAAAATGTTAAGGAAAGTTATAAATCCAAAGATCCATATCAGACCATCCTATTTCTTGAGTATTTGTACTGCCAGAGCTAGGCTCCTCCAAAGAGTATTGTGTCAAAATACTAAACAAACCAAATTCTTATTAGAACTCAAAAAAGAAGTGAATGTTAATATTATTAACAGAAAACTGCAAAGGACTTCGATCCATATTCAAGGAATAACCATTCCACCTTTAGTAATTTTCACATGACTGCATTGGTTCAGCTGTAACTGACTTCAGCTTTTTCAAATTGTGGAATCCTGACTCCTGAAAAGAAGCTCTTGTTCGTATTAATTCATATTTTCCTTGCTAGGAATACAGGAGTGGAGAACACAAGAATCTCTCATAAGGAATCACACTTTCTCCCAACTAGGAGGTCCTTTCCATGGGAGCTAACTAGCTGATAGTTAGGTGAGTACAAGAAACAATAACATAAAGCAGGTTTCATCCGTCCTATACCCCTAATCCTGGTAATGATTGTATTAAAACTTCATATTTACAAAATATTTCAGCATTCAACAAGAACATAAATAGATCTGTCAACAACTCAGGATTCAATATATCTTTCCTTGAAAGTCAACATAGCTGTAAAATGATGAAAACAGAACCAACAACAGATAAACAATATTATATAGAACTATAACAAAATCTGGATTAAAATCCACGCATTACACAACTTGAACTCTTGTATAAATTCTAGAGATAATGTATGAATTCCTAATAAAAATTAAAATAATAAAGGTAATATTTCACTTCACATATCAAAATTCTGAGCATCAAATTGCACCTTTGTTCAACTTACTTGTGCATGCAGTATTTGAACTCCTGGCTACGAGTTAAATCCTTCTCTCCTTCTTCAAGCTATAAGAAAAATCCAGGCTAATGAGAATTACACAGTTGTACGAAGCAGAAAACATTAAGAATTCGATCCTAACATAAAGAATTTCACATAGAAGGCCTTACCGGATCACTCTCATAGATCAGCTCATAACAAGCTGGAGAAAGGCATCGTAAAGCACAATTTTCCCTGGATATCATCGAAGATTTGCATTGCCAACCCCACAGACCGCTATTCACAACAAAATTACACAGCAACCTTTGTCAAAAACTGCGTTGCCAGGCCACCATAATCTTTCAACCCAACAAAAAAAGACCTCCCAGAAAAAAAAAAAAAAGCCAATTAATTGGAAAGGAGGAGCACCTGTCAATATCAGCGTAGCACTGAAGCTTCTTCTGCCTAGTTTCAGCCTCCTGCAAAACAACCCCAAGAAAATCATATTGAAATAAATAAGAGTAAATTCAACCTAAAGCCGGTAAGTATATAGGAAAATTAGAGAAAGAATAAAGACATACAGTGATTGGACGACGAGACTTGGCGAGTACTTGCGAAGAACAATAGAAAGTGGATAATGTAAGGAAAAGAATAAGAAAAGCCAGTGGAGAGTTTCGCGGTGAAGATCTTGGATTGGTCATCATTGTGGCTGAGTGCAAAAGGATTAGATCAACGTCACGGGAATTTTTGCGCAAGGATGTGATTTCAATGCTTCAGGGCTACAGCCTTCAACTGGTTCGCAAAAAAAAATTTTTTCCTCTTTGGTATTAGGATTAATGTTAAAGGAACAGTTTGAAAAAAAAATAATAATAATAATAATTGTTTTTGAATTAACGTTCAATTTTACTCGCTCCATTTAAAAATATAAAATATTTTTAATCAAATTTCACCTTCACTAAAACAGTTACTTATTTTTTAATTTACCTTATCTTTTCATATTTATTCCTATTAAACACCCTATAATAAATATAAAGTTATTATCAATAGGGATATTTTTGAAAAAAAGATAATGATTGTATCTTAAAAAACTAAAAATACCTTATATTTTTTAACATCTAACTTCTCAAAAAATATATTATATTTTTAAATGGAGGGAGTACCTCTATATATATTTATAAAAAGATATGAGATTGGATGATTTTGAGAGGCTTTTAAAAAATTTATTTATAACTAGTAATTTGCCTGCGCAGGAATGATAGATGTGAGACATTAGTAATGATATATATTAAGATAATAAAAATAATGTTAGTTAGTTAAATATTAAATTAAACATAAATTAATTTAATTTATTATTATTGATTATCATTATATGAATGACAAAAATAATTAATTGATCAATTGAATTTCACGAGAGAAATCACATCCTTCAATACTAATTCTTTTTTTATAAATTTATCATAGAGTTAATTGATTTGTTTCATCCAAAACTCGAAACATTAATAAAATGGAAAACCTTATGCTATGACAAAATTTTGAGTAAAAATTAAATAAAAATATTAGTTTTTTTATATCTAATGCGATTTACAAGGAAGAATTCAAAGAACAAATTTATGCAATTATCACTGAAAATGTGCAAGTAAATTGGATATATTTAAGACATGTAAGTAATTATATATAACAATGCTTATAGTACATAGATTTAAAATATTTTTAACATTTCCAATCAATCAACCCTTAATACAAAGAAGAGAGGTGAAGAGAAAGTCAAATGCTCATCAATTATAGAATAATATCAGTTCATTATAACCATAAGGATAATGTGTGCTTAAATATAGAAATTAGATTAATTTTCTGTTAAAAAAACCCCCCAATTCCTCATTGTTAAGAAAAATATCATAAATATAATTTCTATTCAATAAAAATCTTTTTAAAATTTGACAATATGTTTTGCAGTAGTAAGAATAAATACCCCTTATCCTCCACATTCGCCTATACAAATTGAAGCAATACATTCTTACTAGCCATAATATTCACAAAAATAGGTTTTGCCTACTCGTAATTGCAACCATCATTGGTCAGTCTCATCCATATAATTAGATTGGGTTCTAAAATTATTACATGAATATTGATAAAAATAGCCATGACTATCTACTGAATCATTAAAATATCTTTTCACCATCTTGCAAAATAGGAACATAAAATTCAGCGTGCAACCCCAAATTTACAACATAATATCATTTTATGTTACTTAGCTTTAGGGATACAATTAATAATTATTGGCATACCTACTCAAAATTTCAAATATAACTTATCCTTTTATATAAAAGAGAATCCTTGAAAAGAACAATGCAATGAGTATGCTAATTTTGAATACAAATACCTTGTAAACCATAAAGGCTTGAACTCAATAAGTGTCGACAGTGGCAATGTATTATACCACACTAAAAGCCTTTTAATTTTCCAAAACATCTAAGAATTACTTGCATGATGGTGATGGGCGTTACAAGTTGTTGACTGAGAAGATATGCATGAGAATATTGGATACCATGTTATTAGTAGGAAGTTAAAGGATGCAATCCTATCAAGGTCTATCAAAAGCTCAACTAACAAATTATGCAAAAAATAGAAGCCCTGCAACAATTTAGAGTCCCAAAAGCATTTTAATAATCATTATTGAAATTTTGTAGACAAAAAAAAAATTGAGAGGGATGGATACTAGGAATGATGTTGTGACCGCACTTCTGCCTTTTCCTCCTCCTTATCCCTTCCCATTAAGATGGAAAGACAAAAAGAATAAATATTTATAAAATCGCTAAAGAGAAAGAGGAATCCATGGACCAAGCATGGTGCACCCTAGAACTGCTAAACATGTTTTCAAAATGTGCATCGTGGGTTCATGGAGAGGATGTGCTATATACAGTTCTCCTTGCCAGAAAATGCAACCCACATCTGACAACAATATTAAATTGCTGCTCATAAAAATAAGAATAAAAAATTTATAATCATATTCAAATAATGGTTGTTCCTTTTTTCTCTAAATTTTAATAAGAATACAAATTTATGAAATTTAGTTAATATAATTTAAATTATAAATTATAAGACATTTTAAAATGAAATTCCTAAAGACAATTATGGTGCAAGATCTGAAAAAACATAATTGTTAAAATCATATTCAAATTATGGATAGATTCTTTTTCCATGTTTTAATAAGAATAAAGATTAGTTGATATCAAATTTTTGTATTAGGAATTTAAAATTTTATAATGAGATAAGGTGATATGGAAGTTAAGATAACAAACATAATGAGGGAGAAAAGTTGAGAGATAAATGATGAAATTAATAAGAGAGTTAAGATAATGAAAGTTAATAGTGGAGATAATGGAAGTGAGAATTAAAAAATGAATGCGAAATATAATAGAAATATAAATTAAAAATAATTTCTTAAATCAATCCTATGTGGCTTCACGAAATAATAGTATTTGAGAGATAAATGATAAAATTAATAAGGGAGTTAAGATATTAGAAGTTACTAGTGGAGATAATCGAAATGATAATTAAAAAATAAATGAGAAATATAATATAAATATAAATTAAAACTAATTTTCTTAAATCGATCCTACATAGCTTCACGAAATAGCAATATTTGAAAAAATAAAACACACGTCATCCATAGACATATGCTTGTTCTTATCTAATTTGGTGATATCTAATTTAAAATCTATTTAAATATTAATTTACGATTATGGGCCATACATCCACACATGGAGATTCGCTATCTATGCAAGGTCGTGCTTCATGGATTTGGTTTTGATGCTCAGTAGCTTGCTGAGCATCAAGGTGCTCATCACCAGTAAAACATGTAGGCCATTTAGATTAAAAATCTGGATGACCCAGATTTTTTTTTATTTTAATTTTATATTTTATAAAAATAAAATTTATATTTTTTTATAAATATATTTATCATCAATCTGGACAGTATTAATTCAATCTAAGACTCTGGGTAGTTCAATTTAATATTATAATTTTCATAAACTAACTATCTAAATGTACTCTGGACAAGATAGATTCAATATTAAATTTTTTAATAATTTAATATTTTAATAAATATAAAATAAAAATAAAAAAATTAATATTGAATTTGGATGGTCCAGAGTACATCTAGATAGTTAATTTATAAAAATTATAATATTAAATTAAACCATCTAAATTAAATCAGTCCTGTCAAGATTGATAATGAATATATTTATAAATTTTTATTTTTATAAATATAAAATTAAAATTAAAATTAAAAAATTGAACCATCCAAATTAAATCTGCATGGCCTAGATGTTTTCCTGGTGATGAGCACGTCGGTGCTCGGCTTTTTCTGAGCACCGAAACATGCTTCATAGGACTTTATTATCACTGTGGTAGGTTATGTACTTCCAAAGCTTGAAGATAAAACCTTTGATTAAAAAGTATAATTCTTTTACTAGTTGAATCAAGCTTATATAATGTTCTTCATCATCTTTCTATTTTGATTATGAAATATCCACCTAGATTTTTAATTTAATTTTTTTTGTTTTGCATCTACTTTTCATTTATCACATGTCCACCTATTTCCTATCCCTTGGGATAATGAAGAATAATTGATCAAAATGACTATTAACAAAATTTACATTTTAAAAATAATTTTTTTATTGAAATACTTTTTTAAGATAATTGAAAAATTATAGATAAATTTATTTTTAATAGAAAAGGGGGAAGCATTTAACTTGGGATAAGATAAAAGTTTAATCATTTATTTATTAATTTTTGAGAAACTATGGAGAGAAAAAAGTAAAAGATATTTAACATAAACTAATATAATACATGCTTATAAATAGATGGTAAATTTTCACTCTACTAAATACAATTAATCAATAAAAGTCATGGTAATTGAAAAAATTAACCCATAAATACAATTATCGAGTTTTAGTTCAAAACCAAGGGATCCCAAATTTTCTTAACCAATATAAATTTAAATCAATCATAATCTCTTATACCAGAGTAAAAACAAATTATAAAAGTATGGGATACCTCAAAGGAGTGAAAGAAATCAAAATCAGTTGAAAAACATGTTTACTATGAGACAGGACAATGTGCCGCAGCTCGTGCATGTTATGCTATGGTGTGTTACACGAAATTTTCAGTAGATTTTACTGTCATGTGATAGCAGAATCAAGGAACTTCTGACATGTCTTGATTTTCCGTCCAATGTCCGAATGACGTGATTTAGGTGTCTATATAAAGCTCTTTCCATACACTAGCTAATGGCATAGGTTTCACTTACAAAACAAGTCACACTAGGAAATTGAACTCCCAAACACATGTTGACCTCTTTACACAACTTGCACATAAAAATGGTGTCTAAAACCCACAAGTGTCAAAAGCTATTCCTAACACTCAGATCATATTTATTCAACTTAAGACTATCAGTACAATACATTACACACACTTAAATACCAATATAATATAAAATCACTCATCAACCCCTTTTTACCAAAAACAGAAAAGGGAGGCAATTTTTTATTTCATTACATTAAAAATTATTGTAACATGTTTAAAATATCATTTCTACACTTACATTAATATTTTGGCCCTATCAACATATACATTTCTTAATATACAAATACTCAGGGCTCAAAATACAATTTAGACATTTATAGTAACAAAAGAGTGCAAGTGCAACTATATACAATCTAGAATTAGAAATCATGTGCTATTACATAAATTAAATATAAACTAGAGGCATATAGTAGGAATGTATTGACTCCTAGCCTCTTG